AATAATGAACCCTATGTGAATCACCAGAATGATCATATATAGTAATATCACGAACGCTAATATTTACATTTTCATCATCCTCAACCCATATAGCAGCTACTTGAGACGTCGACAAAGTATTAAAGACTCTCTGACCGAGTCTTGGGTGGCATCTTATTTGAATTTTATGCTCATACAGATCAATTATATTGTTTAAAGACCTAAAAAATTACTATACAGATTTACCTTCAAGATTTCGATTAGACGAAATAAAATAGATTATACCAGGTGTTCTGAAGTTTTCATACGATTTTCTAGTTCATTAGCTATATCATAAAAATATTATTATCTGACATAAGTTGATTTACATAATGATATATTTGTCCCTGAACTCTAGATGTGTAGATACCTTTGTATGCTTTAAACAGTTCTTCGTCTTACTTTACACCAAATGAAGTGAACGCAAAGTGGTTATTATATCCACGTGCATATTTTTTAAATTCCATACATGCAGGCTCTTTAGACGTAAAAAAAGTATACAATTCATCCGGTGAATCGGGCATAAAAAGTTTCACCTTTCCTCCAGAGCAACAAAAACCTTTAGGTTCCCTATACAATTTGCATCCACCACAATGCTTACAATAAGCACAAGTTGGTAATACATATGCAGTTGCTGGTACACTTAACAAATTAGAACTTCCATGTAATTCAGAATAAAAAATATTTGTCGATTCTCCATTCGAAGTAGATGCCTCGGAATGTATTATATATTCATGTACATAATCAATTTCAGAAGTATTATTTGTAGATAATATACGATCATTTATTCTTTTACGACGATCAATACTTACAGTTTCATTTCGATATCTCCTATCTGCCTGCCTTCGATTTTGTTGTTGGCGAATAAAAGCATTATATGATTGACTTGTGCTTTGAGACAAAGTTTGAAGGTCAAAACGACCAGGCTCTTCATTCATAGATTTTTCGAAAGAATCCATGAAAACAATGAACTGACCTCTGATTTCAATAATAGAAGAAATTATTAATTTAATTAAAAACCAACAAATAATGATAATATTACATTTAACATACTATAAACTAAATTTACTGAACTCAGATACATGTTAGGAAACTTTTTACAAATCAACAATCCTCTTTATAAAAGCAGGTAAGAAAAGAACTATAAACAGTACTAACTGGATCGTAACACCCAAACATTCCAACAAATTGTTGTAATCTTCATTAAATATAAAAAACAATTGTTGAAAAATTTAAACTTCTCATGCAAATAACGGTAAAGAAAGAAAGACATAGACAAGTTTTATACACAAAACAAAAAAATTATGCTACATTAGTTAAAGCTGAAAAAAAAAGTAAGAAATTTAAATACATATGAAAGCAAACATAAAAAAAAAAAAGACCTTCATAGCCATATCCAACAAATAAAGAAAATTTTAATTAGATTTTCATGTATATACAGAAACAATAACATACCTCACATTTACGTAGAAAAAGATAAGTGAAGTTAAATTTTCATCTGTACACAGGATAAAAAATAACATATACGTTAAATAAATTTGAAAAACTAAAAAAAAAAAAACACAAAGAAAAACCAAATTTTGCAAGAACATACCCAAACATAATCGTTACAAATTCCATGATTTTATTCTCCAAGATTGTGATGAGGACTACACTAATTTTTTTCCTGCAGAAGGAAACAAGAATATCGAAAGTTTTACGAAACAAAAATATGGAAAGTTCTTTTGTAGACGGAAGTTTGAATTTTTTGGAGACAAATCAATCCAATTGAAGGAATGAAAGAAAATGGATGACTTGAGAAAGTGATAGATGCTACATTACTTTATATATTTTTTTATATCTTATTTTATTTATGTTAAATCAAAAAGACAAACCATTTTAACCAAACCCATTTCAAAACTGTTTAATGTGAAAACTTACATGACAAAAATATCATTCTGGCCTTTTTTTTGGTAACAAAAAGCAATGAAATTTTCACCAATCCACCGGAAAAGAAGTAAAAAAATATAATAAATACAAATAATTTAAATTGGAATCATTTTAATCGAGCAATTCACAAATAAAAAAAAGGATGAAAAAAATTTATACAAAGAACAAATTTAAATTTAAAATTTTTCTAAAAGAGAATCTCTTTTCACGGTGATAAATGCAGTGATTTAAAGAATTAAAGTGAACCATAAATAAAGGGCAAAGAATGGGGAAAAAAAGTAAATTTTCTAAAAATTTGATTTTTTTTTTTATAAATATTGACAAAATTGAAAATAGAAGGAAATTCCTCCTTCTATGGAAAGAAAAAGCAAATTTTTTCATCTCTTTAATCTATATAAACGTTTTTTTTAACAAAGCGTATGAAGTATGTTTGACTATTTTTGATGTTTCGACCATTCGATATGTCTATAATATACTTCTCGAAATGAACTTCTAGACAGCATAAAACATTTATCAATTCGAACACCGTACAATCGTCGAAGATTTTTTTAAATTGGCTTGTTGTCGGAATTCACGAAATAATAATTTCGAAATGCCTATTTTGACACTCCGTGACATTTACTACGATTGACTGTTTCACGCACCATCAACGACATGGTGTACCATGCTGTAAGTACTTCAAAACGATATTAAAAAAATAATATTTCGAATTCATTTAATATTGCATAATGAGCCCCAAGATTGAAAATGAAAACACAATTTAAATTTTAAAAAAAATAAAAAAATTCTGTGCACAGACCTTTATGATCCGTGCACGGAGCTTGCAAGGCCCGTGCACAAGACTTGCAAGGTCCGTGCACGGCCTGTCTGCACACCTCCGTGCTCGAAGGCTTCAATAACTTGGAACAAATTTTTTACTCGTAAGTATACTTACATTTTACAAATATATACTTAAAAATTGAAGATGCCTATTTTGACAATTCGTAACATTTGCTACGATTGACTGTTTCTACTTATGAGTAAAAAATATTAACTTAAATTTTATTAAGTATAAATATTTAATATTTTTAATTAAATATTAATAAAAAGATTTCACTATCTACAATATAAGAAGTTATTTATAAGTAAAAAATCATTTGAAATTATTTAAAAGTAATAAAAAAAGATTATATTGAGAGAATTGTCACGAAAAAAATAATAAACACCAATAAAATATTTGATTTTTTTAAAGAAAAACGAGTTATACGCATATCTTAACCCTCACGTTTGATGTACGTTTAACTATTTTCGATATTCATTTAAATCATTCGATGTATCTAGGATATAGTTCTCGAAATGAGTTTCGGGAGAATATTGTAGATTTATGGATTCGACTATCGTGTAATTATCGATGAATTTTTAAAGTTAACTCGTTATCGAAATTCTCGAAATAATAGTTTCAAAATACCTATTTTGACGCCCTATAACATTTGCTACAAATGACCGTTTCGTACAGCGTTAACGACATATAATACTATGCCGTGAGTACTTCAAAATGATATTAAGAATGTAATATTTTGACTTTGTTTGATATTCCATAATAAGCCTTAAAATGAAAACAAAAACACAAGTAAAAAAATTAAAAAAAAAATTAAAATTTGCTTGAGCTCCGTGCACAGAGGCTTTTTTTTATTTATTTTTTTATTTTTTGCAATTTTTATTTTTTTCTTTAAATAACTTGAAACAAATTTTTTACCTGTCACTCTTTACATTTTAGAAATATACTTAAAACTTGAAATTAATATTTTTCGCTTATAAAAGCTTTTACAATTATAAGTTATTTTTACTTTTAAATAACTTTAAGCAATTTTTTTACCTATAAGTAATTTTTTACATTTTAGAAATATTTATAAGTAAAAAATATTAACTTAAATTTTTTTAAGTATAAATATTAAGATATATTTTATTTTTTAATTAAATATTAATAAAAAGATTACACTATCTAGAATGTAAAAAGTTACTTATAAATAAAAATTTATTTTAAGTTATTTAAAAGTAATAAAAAACACATTATATTGAGAAAATTGTCGCGAAAAATAATAAACATCAATAAAATATTTGATTTTTTTAAAGAAAAAATACGAGTTATACGCATTTCTTAACCCTCATGTTTGATGTACGTTTAATTATTTTCGATATTCATTTAAATCATTCGATGTGTTTATGATATAATTCTCGAAATGAGTTTCAAGAGAATATAGAAGATTTATGGATTCGACCACTGTACAATCATCGATGAATTTTTAAAGTTAGATCGTTATCAAAATTCTCAAAATAATAGTTTCGAAATACCTATTTTGACGCCACGTAATATTTGGTACGAATGGTCATTTCGTGCACCGTTAACGACGTATAGTATTATGCCGTGAGTACTTCAAAATGATATTAAGAATGTAATATTTCGATTTCGTTTGATATCACATAATGAGTCTTAAAATGAAAACAAAAACATAAGTAAAAAAAAAATTAAATTTGCTTGAGCTCCGTGCATGATGCATTTTGCTCCATGCACGAAGGCTTTTTTTTTTTATCTTATTATTAGTCGAACGTGATTTTTTTAATTATAAGTAACTTTTATATTTTAGATAGAAATAAAGAATCACTTTTATGTAATAAAAAAAAATATATATATATATATATATATATATATATATATATTTCAAAAATATTATTTATTACTATTAAAATTATATTTCTCCCTTACTTTGAATCTGACACATCATGCTCTTTCTCCATTTTCTCATGCTATCAACTATCAACTGTATTTGTTGAAATAATTTTCTTTTACATAAAAGTGACTCTTTATTTCTATTTAAAATATAAAATATCACAGCATTGTGTGTTAGATTTACAGAAATATTGCAGTCAAATGGCGTGCAAAAACTTACATACAGTGTTTTTTAATATAATTCTTCCTGTTGTCAAATCAGTTCCAAAATTGGTTAAGTGTGAAAACGAATATGACAAAAATGACCAGTAAACTTCCAATCTAGTTCAGATATATATATATATATATTGATTAGAAAGAGAAGGAATGAGGGATTTGGTTCGCCAGTCTATTCATCACTCGTCGATTTTGCCCGTCCTCCGGCTGGAATTGAATCTCACAAATATGAAATATTGAAAAGGAAAGATGAGGAACCGAGGGTTTTGGCGAAGCAATCTTTACATCCTCGTTGGCGCCTTCAAACAATTCCAATCGCCAAGAAATGCTGATGTTCGAAATCGATTAACTTTATTCAAGAGAGCACTCAGCTCATATTCCACTGCCACCCAAACTTCAGAATGTCAACCCCAACTTTCTATTGATTTAATCAATATTATGGAACACAAATTATCCGCTATTCAACACAGGAATGCGTATCTTCAGGGCATTGTCAATCAGGTAATCCAAAACAATTAGTTTTTTCGTCGCTCCCCTGTCACTTACTGTTGTATATAACGTGTTTGTTAAAATACCTCTCTCTCTCTCTCTCTCTCACGCTAGTTTTAATTGAAGACAGCCGGATGCCTTGCCTGAAGAATATTCGAGGGCCAACAAGGAGCTACGGAGGCTTGGAGATTCAATGGATCTTATAACGGAGTTGAGGACTAAACAGAAGGTAGTTGATTCATTTTTAGTATGAAGCTGAGTTTAAGAATTTACTTACATTTAACTTCATTTATTTAATTGTAAGTCGTAAAATTTTCTTGATATATATTTGGATAAATTGTATTTATAAGTAGAGCCTTGCTACAAGGACGTGGCTGTGCCCGTTTAGATAAACCCTTAGTAAAGTTAAAATGCCAAATGGCCATGCTCATTCATCCTATTGTAATATGTTGTTGCGTAAATTTGAATGCTGTTTGATTTGATGGTCCTGTTTTGCAGGAAATTGAGGGGCTCAAGCAAGTGATAGCTGAAAGCCAAGACGATAAAGACATGCACGAAATGGCTTCTGAAGAACTTGGACAGGCATTGGAAGAGGAGAAGCGGCTGCAGTTTCTTTTGCTTAAGTCATTGCTACCTAAGGATGATGCAGATGAGCGCGACTGCATTTTGGAAGTGAGAGCAGGTATGAAATGCAAATGGAGCTCAAATGTCCAACTATTTGAGGCATACTTTTGCAGGTTCATTTTATGCCGATAATATTTGCTGACCATTACTATAATTTATTTTAGGAACTGGGGGGGATGAGGCTTCTTTGTTCGCAATGGATATATTCAAAATGTAGGTGGCTAGTACTATATTGTATATGCATGATCCTACCAGTCAATTGCTTCTTTTAATTTTCTGATGTTTTATCTTACAATTATACATCAGGTACGAAAAATACTCATCGAGGAAAGGTTGGAAATTTGAAGTTCTGGATTTGGCAGAATCTGACCTTAAAGGTTACAAGGTTTGTCAAGCAACTTTTGTCATATAAGTCTTTAGACAAATTGTCTCTATCATTCCATTTTTATGGTTGCTATTTGGAATGATTGATTGTCATCTGCATCAGATACTTTTACCCATATTATCGTTGCCTTTCTAAACTGTTCTTAGAAATGTGCATTTTCTTGTTAGGAAGCGAGTGCAACAATCTCTGGATCTGGCGTTTACGGAAAATTGAAATTTGAGAGCGGAATTCACAGAGTGCAGGTTTTTTTTAATAATTTTTTTTTTTTAAATATCTTGTATCTTTGGCAACTGGATATTACTTTCTGTTGTTCTGCTAAAATTTTGGACATGCTTTTGCAGCGAGTTCCTGTGACGGAGAAATCTGGACGAGTTCACACTAGTGCTGTGTCTGTTGCTATTCTCCCTCAGGCGGATCAGGTGCAGATCCCTTCAATCTGATGTTCTTAATTTGATTATTGTGGAAGTTTAAGAAAAGAAAACAAGAACCAACGGAGTGAATTGCCTTGTTCTTCTATATTCTATTTCGTTTTTGCAATCATTTGAGGTTGAATCCAAAATTACAAGAACCACTTATTCATAGTGTTTATTTTTTATTTATTTATTTATTTTTATCCTAGGTTGATGTGCAATTGAGGAATGAAGATTTGAGAATTGATACATATAGATCTGGTGGTTCAGGCGGTCAGCATGCAAATACCACAAATAGTGCTGTTAGGGTTACTCATGTTCCATCCGGATTAACCATTGCCATACAGGATGAACGATCCCAGCATATGGTGAGAAAGTTGAAGTGCAATGGTTTTCATCCATCCTTTTCTGATTTTACCTTTTGCTAAGATTTACATTCTTAGGCCCCGTTTGGTACCCATTTTTGTAAAAATGATAATGAAAAATATAGTTGTTACGGGACTCACACAAGAGATAGAAAGTCAAATATGGCGGTTTGATGTGATGAATAATGATTATATTTTTCATTTTTGTGTTGAAAGAATGGAATCAAACGTGGGCTTACTTATAATTGACATTATTGTCTTACTACATATAAATGAACCATCATTCTGCACGAATGCTGAGATGTAACTCTGCACCTTCTCCCTATTTTAGTTATGCCATACACTGCTGTCATGATGATTATCTTGTTTCTTATCCTTTATGTTCATCGATAAAATTTTGTAACATCGTGCAGTAATTTATTTCTTACACGTGCTAGCCATATATGCTATAAAGGAGTTGAGTTATAATTTATAAATACTATTTATTCTTGATCAATTTTTATTCACTTTGATCGTCTCATGTTTTTCTGTATCTTCTACTAGAACAAGGCCAAAGCACTCAAAGTATTGTGTGCAAAGTTATACGAGATGGAAAGAACTAGGATTCATGCAAGTCGTTCAAGACTTCGAGCTGAACAGGTTATTCCATTTTAAGAGCTGAGCAGGTGTTTGGTTTCAATGTAGAGATTATAAAGCGATACCATTGTCTTCTCTCTCTTGATTTTTACTTTTTCACACCTTCAACAGATTGGCAGCGGGGACAGATCTGAACGCATCCGTACATATAATTTTCCTCAAGGGCGCGTCACTGATCATCGTGTCGGCATCACTAATCATTCAATAGATGGCATGATGCAAGGAGATAATCTGGACATATTCATAGATGCTCTTCTTTTGCAGCAAGAGATGGATGCAATTGCTAATTTCAGCTCTACTCAGTGATTACACATTTACGCCGATGTTCTATCTGGAGTTTACAGCCTCAGATATGTACCTCTTCTTTAGACCTTCTCTATTTCTGATGAGTCCCACATGCAGCTTTTCCGATATATATAGTATGCCATGATAAGAAACGGATTAGACATGGGGAAAATTACTCACACTTTATACAAGTAAACCCGAGCTTAGAAATACTTAAAAGCAGATGTTGTAAAAGAGTGTATTACAAATTCTACGACATGATTCATGGATGATTCCTTGTTAAAATCTGCTCGGAACCCTTGTAAATGCATATTTATTCATGCGGTTATAAATTTCAATATGATGATCAATTCAGTTTTCATGATGAACGGTTTGATATCACGTGAAGTTAAATCGGCATCCTTTTGTTGTAAGGTTTTTCTCTTATTTCGTTGGTATTTAAACTAATCTAAGAGTTCGGTTGTCTCCTATTGTTTTCTTATGAATTATAGAAAACTTTGGACTTCTCCCTGATTTCAATTTGTACTCAATATTTTGCAAAATTATTAAGGGCCCGTTTCGCATAGCTTCCTACCTTCTTGTTTCTTTTTCTTGTAGAACACCTTTAAGAGGAATCTACCTTAACTTTTGTTTAGAAACTAATTTTTAAAAGAACTTCCTATTTCGAAAGTGCCTTAAGAGAAAGTCACATTGAACAAACTTCTTCTAAAAGCTAATCTAACTAGAAGAAGCACTTTCATAAAATTAGTCAAACAAATTCAAAAGCAACTTTTGAATCTTAAAAGCTCGTTTAGGCTTTTTAAAAATCAAGTCAAATAAGTTTTAATTCTTGACGCATGTGATGCTAGTCGAGACAAGAAGGTATCTTTGATTAATTTTATTTTTCATAAAAAATATCATTTTTTCATTCAAATTCTTATTTTTGGAGTGTTTGATTGACAAATTTTTTTCTTGGAAAGTCTTTTTGAACTTTTGGTCACGTGAAACGTTATCATATTTTCCTCGGAAACAAGGAAAACATTTTTTTTATGGGAAGGGTGATTTTTATTTTTCAGGTTATTTTCTCTCTCTCGTCTACTCATAAATAAAAAATGTACAAGTATAATATTTTCTAGTTTAAAAATCAAATCAATCAAACACTTTTAATTAATAATTTCAATCCAAAGAAGTTATAAAGTATAAACAATTGGATTTGCTATTTTCTTTCCATATAAATTTTATGTTTGCAATCAAATCTACCCTTAGTTTAAAGTCATTTCATAGCCTTTTTTAAAACAAAGGTATAAATGCAGAGGAAAATTGAAAACTATGCTAATGTCCTCGGACAGTAGTCGGTAACCTTACCAGCCAATGTTCTGATAGGTGTAAAGCTGATAATATAAAAAAAAATAGTTCTTCATCTAATTGGAACCTACTGTTATATTGTAAATTTAACTGGTTAAGGGGGGAGAAATTACAACATGCAAACATTAAATGAAAATAGATTAATTGACAATTAAAGTTTTTATACATATTTTTATCTGTTATCGTCGTTCTGGATCAATGCAAGCCTCTCATGTTTCACTGCCTCATCGTCTGTATAGTTAGTAGGAAGGCTAGCCTCCTCACTATAATTGAAATTTCCACCAGGTACATGTAAACCAAAGAAACGATTCTTTGAATTCTCAAATATATGTAGTGGCAACGTACAACTTTAATTCTAACCATTGGTTTTTATTTGAATTCAACCTCCTTTAATTTCCCATTAACCTCCCTTGACTTATCTTGCGTAGAAAAATTTGAAGAATCATGGCAAAAGGAGAGTAAGAAATTAGTGCATAAAATACATGAAAAATGAAGAAGTCTTGAAAACCATTGTTTAATGAAAATTCGCACAAAACTTGGCATTTGGACCTTGATAGAGTTCTAGACCATCGATGCGATCTAAAATATAAATTTGTAGTGGAGAAGTGCAAGTGATTCGACCATGCAAAGATATTGGAAACTTATGCACGTTTTAGTTTCTTGAACCGAATTTCATTATTTGGCATGTTATAAATTCTCACACCATTCGCTTCCTCTCCGGATTTGAACATTGGAGACACTTGAAAGGTATGAGTAGAATTAACAAGCGAAAAGAATTCCGACAAAATGAAAAACGCAATGAGTCTATGGCAAACAATCTTGGTGCACTTGTTTCATCGCGTAGTCGGTGAAAAAACCTAGTTCCTCTCCCAAACGCATGGCGATAGGTTTAGTGGTGGACGCTCTTTTGCTTATAAATTAATCAGATCATAAATAGTTATAAAATTTTGCAGAGCATCGATGATACATTGGGGTTCCAACTTAAAAGCACAAGTGTAGCCCTAGAAAGAGGGCTTAAGCTCTCAAGTTCTAACGACGAGCGACAAGTGTTATCATATTTTAATAAGTTCAAGTATTAACATTCAATTGCTTGGTTCAACAGAAATAACAAGAAGAACGAAGCAGTATACATCTATTTTTATTTCACTTTTCTCAATTGCTTTTTAATTACAATATATATCCAGAATCCATTCTATGCAGCGTTTATATACAGTCCAGAAATGCTCTGTGTGGAAAAGCTTTGCCTCATATCAATACCCTGCCATTTATTGCTTGCTTACCTGTACATTTGAAGCTTCAGGGCAATTTTTCAATGAAGAAATCCTGACAACAATTGGCTAGGAGAAATTTGTAGTGGAAGAAAACTTTCTATGCTACAAGTGACTTTCCAAGAGATTATGCAACGAAATCTTCCCGGAGTTATTTGGATCGAGCTTGCTGAACTGCTCGCATATCTGGATTATATCTTTTTCCCTGATCTTGCCCATCTCCTTGAGCTTGTAAATTATGTATTCCGATTTACTGCCTCATTGTAGATTGTCAAAATGGTTAGTGTGATAGTTTGACTTAAAACAGCAAAACGGAATAGATGATTCTTCTGTTCTTTTAGCCACCAGAAGCTCTAATACATATCAGATTATGCAGAAAAACAGAAATAGAAGTAATCGTTGGTAGGGCATACGGCAGTAAGATTGAGTGTCTGAAGTTAGAGGTTAATGGATGCAACATAAAACTTCACACACACCCCACCCCACCCCACCCTAAAGAAAGTAAGCAGTTATTAATAATTTAAAAAGGGCATGAAAATGAACGAGGCACAAGTAAACAAATTGGTCTGCAGCTTCAAGAACAATCAAGGATTTTATTTGGGGAAAATTGCAGCCGAAGTACCAAACCTTTCGTTTATTAGCAGACTTTGCCCAAACATTTCATTTGTATCACTGTGAGTACCAAACCTTTAAAAAATGTGCAACTCAAGTCGAAATTGATGGTTTTCGTCTGTTTGACCACAAAAACCGTCGGTTGACTCCAAAAATTAAAAATTTAATTATTTCCCCAAAATAAGGTAAGGACATTTTGGATAAAACACATTTTTCCTATTAAATCAAAAATTTTAAAAAATAATAAAACCACAATCCATCCTCATTTCCTTCTTCCCCAAATCAAAACCACTCCACCCAATCACCACATTCATCGCCGACAGTCACCACTACCCACCGACATCACCACTACTGCCCACCCAACAATACTCACCAACAAGAAAAGCTTAATGATTTACCTCATTAGCATCACCTTTCAACAGCCCTCTTCACGTCGAACCTCAACAAAAGTGGAAGGAAATGGACCACTCAGCCTCGTACTTCATCCGGATTATGATTAAGACCATGAATGAAATCATAGACTCCTTCTTTTTCAAGGTTATGCTGCTATTTGAAACTGCACCTAGCGCAAGAGGAATCATCTTAAAGAAAGCATGTTCTTGCCAAACATCTTGAAGATTAGAGAAATACAGAGTCACGGAATTAGAGCTATGTTTTATCTCTTTCAATTTGGAACGAAGTTCAAAATTTTGGAAAATGTTTCCAAGATCAGATTACAAACAACGAGCAGCGTTCCAGACTTCTTTGGAAGGCTGATTTTAGGTTCCATTAAATTAATAAGCCGAGCAAGAACAATAGAGTTCTCGAACAGCTAAGTCATTGTGTGGAATTAGTAGGGTTAGGAGAAGGAAGTTCACCGGTGATGTAGCCTAGTTTTCCTCAGCCACAAATGAAAATTTTGAGGGATTGAGCCCACTATAGGTAATTTTTACCATCTAATTTGTGGGATGTAACTTGAAGAGAAGATGCATCGCAACCGAAAAAGGAGGCAACATAAACTGGAGCTAGACGCTCGACCTGGGACTGGCTAGAAGTTGCATAGACAGTGTAACCTTATGAGTATTGTTGGGTGTGCAGTGGTGGTGATGCCGATGGGTAGTGGTGGCTGTCGGCGATGAATGTGGTGGTTGGGTGGAGTGGTTTTGATTTGAGAAAGAAGGAGATGGGGATGAGTTATGGTTTTATTATTTTTTTTTTAATTTTTGATTTAATTGGGAAAATGTGTTTTATCCAAAATGCCCTTACCATATTTTGGGGAAATAATTAAATTTTTAATTTTTGGGGTCAACTGACGATTTTTGTGGTCAAACAGACGAAAACCATTAATTTCGACTTGAGCTGTACATGTTTTAAAGATTTGATACTCACGGTAGCACAAATGAAATGTTTGGATAAAGTCTGCTAATAAACGAAAGGTTTGGTACCTGGACTGCATTTTTCCCTTTTATTTGAGCCTCAAATTCTTATGATCGAGAAGAGGATAAATCTTTAATCAACTGTTGGTCCATGTTCGTCCTTATCTGCTTTTTTCTTTCTTTCTTTCTTTTTGGTTTTATGTTTTCTTGCACATGCCCTCTTCTTCTCCCATATAAAGTCCAATAAAGCTCAATTTAAACACTGTCACCCATATAATCTACTAATGGGAGTGCAGTTGAAAGATATTTAATGTAGTTATACAACTTATCAATTTTGAAACAGAACTCAAGAAAGCATACTAAGCTGAAATGGAAGAATATAAATGAAATCTTGTTGGCATCCTTACCTAATGAAACCACTGTTATTGATATCGGCAGCAACCAGGTCCCCAACAGTTATTTTGCGATGCAACACCCAATTAGTAATTTTCCGGTGCCTCTTGTCGATTCTTGCCTCCGCCAGATACAGAAATGCCCGTGCAACCGCGAGTGTGGAGAATAATAGCCAAATCGACGCGAACAACCTCCCTGGCAGAGTCTTGAATGCTCTGTCCCCATATCCGACTGTGGTAACAGACATAACTGATAAATATACAGAATCCACCCAATCCAAATGTTCCACAAAGTACAAAACCAGAGCCCCAATTCCAATACAAAGCACAACCACCCCTAATGCCAAACCCACCTTCAGTCTAATTCTCATTCTTCCCTTAGCCACATCCACTATGTAGTCCCTGGCAGAAAATTTCCCGTGTTCTTTTTGTTGATTCTGTTTAGGTGCTTGGATGCCGGCTAATATTACACTCTCCTGCAAGTCAAGCACATAATTGACAACCCCACTAAGCAGAATGTCGATGAATCCAAAGCCTACCAACACGAAAACACAAGCAAACACTTTTGTGACCGGCGTTAACGGGGCAATATCTCCATATCCTATGGTGCACATAGTGACGATACAGAAGTATAAGGCATCCACCACCGGATGAGTCTCGACACTAGAGAAATTATCACGGTTGAATGAATAAATAACGACACCGAGGGCCAAGTAAATTAAGAGCAAAACAGCAGCCTGCCTGACTAAAGTAACAGACTCTGACTCAAAATCAGGATTTTGGGCATGGTCAGACTCGGGCTGTTTCATTGCAGACATAGCAGGGGCAGTCTTGCAGCGCTGAATTTTCTTGCGTTTAAATGAAGAGGAGGGTCCCGGAGGAGGAGAAACAGTATGAAGAAAATCATCATCACTAAGTAGAGCGTCTTCAATATCTTCGTAGATAACTGGGGATTGGATTTTGATATCATTTTTGTTCAAAGATTGAGGGATTTTGAGAGTGAAATCATGAGGGAATTGAGGAGAGGCCAACGATGGCTCTGCTTCCATTCATCCGGCTGAAATTATTAGTTGAAATCCCAAAAAGATTAAGATTATGAATGACGTTGAGATTGAGCCGCCATAAAAGCAATAGAACGATCAGCAAATAAGAGGGACAGAGAGAGGGGAGAAACAGAAAATTATTATTTGATGAGAAAGAATAAAAAAATGATAAATGGATTATGGTTGAATGATCGACAACCTTATAAAAAGCGTGGGACCCCACTTCCTACTAGTAGTGTGCCAATTGGAAATCGTCTTCTACCTTCAAACTTCCAGTAGCAAGAGAGATCATTTCACGGTCACTCGAGTTCAAATGAAATTTCATATTGGTTCTCAAACTATTTTTTGACCAATTTAGCCTCCATTTGGGAAGAAATGGTTCCTTTGGCAAACTTTACAAAGTAATTTATAAATGAATCAAAATTCATTCTCACATGTTAATAGGTCGACAAGTATTATACACTTATCCACTGCTTATTTTTATGTATTTATAAATAGCTAATTGGCACAAAATGTCTTCACTTTTTAATGTTTTTGTGTAAAACATTCCCACATTTCGTTTTTTGATAATTTCATCCTTACTTTCACATTTCATTACTGAAAAGATCCTTTCATTCACCCACATTAGATGCTCCGTTAACTTGAAAAAAGATAGTTAGCACAAAATATCCCACAATTTCAATGTTTTTTTGTGCAAAACATCCTTACCTTTTGTTTTTTGGTAATTTCATCCTCACTTTCACCTTTCATCGTGGAAAATGTCATTTTATTCATCCACCATCAAATATTCCGTTAACTTAACAAGTGACCGACCAGGGCCCTATTGATGAATGAAAGAATGGGAGGCAGACCAGAAGAGAAGTATGTCTCGGCAACGAAGATGTCATACTCGTAAGAGTAAGCTAACAAATAGATTCTAGAGTTCTAGTTATAGGACTTGACCGAACATCTCACGACACGAGCAAAAGCGGAATCGAAGGGGTTGATTGAAAGGTAAGGATAGCATGATTGACGGGTTGGTCTTTGCCATTGAAAATTGATAAACTTTGAGGTCAAAAGAATATACTGCTGAACCTATTGACTGACTACTTTATTGAATAGCCGGAAAGAGATGCAGTCGATTGGAAGTTCAGTTTTGATGTCGACTCCCTTTTCCCAATTCTTTTGGTTGGCATTAACGAAATGTCGCAAAGAAAAAATGCAAAAATAAATAAATAAATAAATAAATTTCAAAAATCAATAATAACATAGTCTTACCCAAGTTTTCAATAGCATTATTCTTGCCTTCAAAGTTAACTGTTCAAAATTAAAAGTAATACAAAAATAATTTATACAACTATTCCATTAAATAAATAAGAAATGACGTAAAGAACACGAAATTTCTCCTTGATAAGAACAATGGCTGTTGTAATGATGGATTACTTGTAAAATTTGAAACGATAGATGAAGAGATATGTGTTCGATAAATTGAAAATGTTCATCCCCATTTGTGCTTATTAAGGGTGTAAATAAATGCAAAATAAGAAGAACGATAGCAAATGTGATACTCTAAATAGCCCCTCAAATTTAGTGAAATGCCCATCACATATAAATGGAGAAGATGAGCTGGACCTATTATTTTCTTTTTAGCATAAAATTAAACTTGTGATAACAATTCTCACCTATTAGTACATTTTACGTGTAACAATCCTATCTTTTAATATATTTTACAAAAAATCCATGCCTTTAATATTAAGTCACTTAAAGCATCCATACTTTTGTAAAACGAATGGTATGGACATCTACAAAGGTATGAACGTTTTGTACAAAAACATTGAAATGTAGGAATGTTTTGTGTCAATTAGCATTTTTGTTAAGTTAATGGAGCATTTGATGGTGGATGAATGAAGGACCTTTTTCGCAATAAAAGGTGAAAGGGTGAATGCCAAAAAAAAGAAAAGATAGAGATGTTTTGCACCAAAATATTGAAAGATGGGAACATTTTATGCTAACTAGTCATTTATAAATTATAGATTTGTGTTCTTGTGAAATTATAGGTTTTTGAATAATAAATGATTCTTACAAAAAAAAATCGCATGTCCATATCCTGGACCGATTCCTCCCTTACTTTAAAATAAATAAATAATTAATTAATTAAACCATGACAAAGCTGAAGCTGAAGGATTAAATAAATATATCTAGGACCAAGTTGAAATTTAGCTTGAACTTTAGTGACTAATTGTGAAATTAACTCAATAAAAAAGATGTTTTAAATTGCGTGTTTTGGGTAAACTTAAAATAATTGTTTAAAATAATAATTTTTAAGATAAATAACTTTCTCGATGAAGTTAGTAAGTTATTTGAAAATTTTGAAGTTTATCAAAACATAATTTGAATACATTTAAGTCCATCTCCAATGGTGGCATTAAAACATTAAATTCCACCAAAATTTGGTGCAAAAGCACTTCAATGTGACACCAAAATTTGCACTATTTTGGTGTGGTGCAGCACTATTCACTTTACACTATTTTTGTGCAAAATGGAGAAAAGTTAAATTTGCCATTTTTTCTACTTGCCAAAGTGATTGATGAAGGGTATTTGAGTAATTTGTCTTATATATTTTTTAATACAATAATTTTCATCATCATCATCATCATCATCATCATCATTATTATTATTATTTGCATTTAAAATAAATTTTAAATGTAAAAAATAATAATTAATGAATTAATTAAAATAAGAATACAAAAAAATAATATAACAAACACCGTTATTTAAAATTAACAAGACTATTTAGTATTTTCTACTAATTGTACTGCATTTCCTATATTTACCAGTGAATCTAATATTTTCGTTAATTTAACGTAATTATTTATTTAGTATTTGTGTAATTGTAAAATAAATAGATAAATAATTTTTCAAATGTAAGAAATAATAATTAATGAATTAATTAAAATAAGAATGTAAAAAAAATTTAACATAACAAACACGATTATTTAGTGTTTCTACTAATTGTACTATATTTATTAATAAATTTAATATTTTTGCTAATTTAACGTAATTATTTATTTAGTATTTATGTATTTCAAAAATAAATGAATAAATAAATTTTTGAATAAATAAATTATTTAAAAAAATGATTAAACACTATTAACTTGGCTGTAAGTTTTGGTGTAATGGTTGGAGATGATTTGTAGTTTAGTGCAAAATAGTGCAAACTTTGGTGCAGAGTTGAAAATAGTTAAGAGTGTCAACGAGCTGAGACGCTAACCAAAACTCCTTGTTCAGGTTTGGCTCGATCTTTTTTTTTTTTTTTTGCCCAAGCGAGCGGAACAAAAGCTCGCCCAAAAAATTAAGGCCCGGCTCAAGCTTTTAGCTCGGGCCTTAATAAGCCGAGCTAACTCGATTTTCTAAATTTTTTTCCCTCTTAGCTACCGTTTAAGATACTAGCTGCCAAACAGGCAGCTAAACTTTATAGCTGCCAAACATGCAGCATATATATATTTTTTTAATGGGCCGATCGAGCCATACAGGCTGGACCTGCTTGAGTCGACTCCCCGAAATGGGGCTCGAAGCTTTTTTCGACCCGAACCGATGAGCCAAATTGTCATTACTAGAGATGGCCTAAGTATATGGTCACTGTAACTCAAGTTCAAATAAGCTATCTCAAATTAGTAGTGTTACTATTAAATTTTTAATATTTCGACATATTATTTCTTCTTAAAGAATGATGAAATTTCAATATGGTAATATCACATTTATAATGATGTGTTCACATTTATGGATAAAACTAGTGAGGCAACGTGCGTTGCACGTTAGTTGGGTGAATATGAAATATAAGAATGTGGTGGTTGTTTCGACAAACATATTGGTGTAACTATGTATATATATGTATTGGTGTAACTATATATGTATTGATATATACGATAAATGAATGTTATTGGGGCGACGAAATATTGTAGTATGTTTGAATTGTAAAAACAAGAAAAATTGTAATTTCCATAAAAATCTTTCGGAGATAGATAACTGCGGAGAAAGTGAAGTGGATAAACATAAAAATTAAACATTATTTATTTAGGTGGCGAATATAATTATAAATAAAAGAGTTTCACAGACGTGTTAGAATTCCATCGTTTTGGTTTTTTTTTTAGACCATAAACATTGGAGATTCGCTATTTAATAGTTCAAATACACATGTATCACTGATTTGTAGTTCCTTTTCCGTCGAAAAATCTGCCTGGCCTACAGTGAGACGCGCATTACGCCGTTTGGTCTTAAATTTGCGGTGATATCCCAGTTGTAATGTAAAGAATCGTGGATTCAAACATTTCGTACATATCTTGTTAGATGGTGTCTTGCAAACCTTGCTGGTATAGACTGAAAAACGTGGATGAATGATTTACTGATATTAAGATTAAAATTATGTGGAAGAGGTAAATATAGAATTAGATATTAAAGATAACACCTACAATTTCTCGATGGTTGTTGTGATTGAGTGTTAGTGTTATTTCGAATGCAGGATTATCTATATGTAAAGCGTTCTCGTCCTCTTCAACATCGGAGCCATATGTAACCTCTGATCTAGAATGATCAAATATCCACATATTGAATGTGAAATTTCTGTTATTTGCAAATACTACAACATAATTATCCTATAAGTTATGATGGTCGAAAAATTGCTCACATCCATTAGTCAGATATTTCTCCATCGATCCTTTCTAACTGTATTGTGACAATTATACCATCATATTAAGTTAATCATACTGTATCACCAAGTTTGTGTTTCCAACAATTGAGAAAAGATGTAGGAAGCATCTACATATATGAAAAAAATATAAGTGATATATTAATAAAATATTTATACAAATGTAAAAGAAGAAATTATTATATAACTTACCAGACGGATGTTATAGTTTAGTGAAAGATTGATAATTTTGAAGAAGCTAAGTAGTACATCCATTTTTTGTATTGATACACTGCACCAAATAAAGAATTAATAATTTGTGTATGATTTTTAACGCAATTAAATATTGAAAATTAGATGTTATTTAAAATCATAAACTGATTTTGAAAAAAAAAATAGTAAAAAGTCAAGAAAGAAAGAAATAGTAGATGAAACTCTTTTGACAAAGTTGGTAGGTAAATATATGTAAGTTTGTCAGGTGAGAAGAAATGGTATGAGAAGATATTT